CCTGCAGAACAACAAGCAAATCCATAATCAAAATGCAAACCGCAGGTTTCACGGGAGGTGACGCGGGAGGGGTGCAGGTTCTGTGCCTCGAGGGGGGACATGCGGTGAAGCGATTTGATTGAGAAAAGATTATCCTTGATTAATGTATGAGTTTGATTAGATTTCACAATAACTCGCCAAAGTGAGCTCTTTTGTGAGAAATAGTCATATCGAGTACATTGAGAGGATTCACTTATTTGATTCATGTGTATTTCGATATACCCAAAGGTTATTCGTGATATGGCAGAATTAAATTTGTGTGTGTGATAATAAACAAGTGTTAATCATTCGTCATGACATAAGTGTGATGAACGGACCCAAAGGTTAGTTTATCGCATGAGGTGCTAGATTAACATTGTTTATTCATCACTTTGAGCCACTTATTGCAAGTTAATTCTTCAGTCCAAAGATTGAATATTGATGTTGTGCTAGTGTCTTGTTCGGATATGTCAATTTAAGTGTTCATTCAATTCAGGTTTTTATTGAATGGTTGTCTGACATGAGCTTTTGTTTTTCAGTTCTGCAAACGGCTTCAGGTATCTCAGCCAACATTGGTTCGATACCGTCCTAGATGGGTCGAACTTTGCTAGATGGAAGCAACACTTACTGATTGTGTTAGCTTTGAATGGTAAAGACATTGCGATGAGGGAGTCTAAACCAACTACTACAGATCCGATTTCTGATGCTGATCGCATCACATCAAAATCAATAGTTGGGAAGACTCAAACCGTATTTATCTTATGATCATTAAAGCATCCATCCCTCCAGTCTTCTTGGGACATGTGCTTGAGGAAGTTACAGTGGCTACGAAGTATCTCGATGCCTTGGAGAAATGCTTTGCCAAAAATGACAAAGCTGAAACGATTTCCCTTTTGTCGGAAATCATCTCCATGAGGTAGAAGGGCAACGGGAATGTTCGTGAGCACATTATGAACCTTTCAAACACTCCTCCAAATGTTCCATCACGTGAATTTGCGCAGCCGGTAGATGGGTAGGGATATCGCGTGAACAGACACACGTTCTCGTGGAAAGTTGTTTTCCGTAAGAGAACACCACGCTCCCTTCCTAACAAACACACATACGCAATACTTAAACCATAATCAATATAACTTTCAGTAACATCAAAAAACTTCTTTAACTGACCACCTTACCTTTTGGGCTTCGTTTTTTCTTTACCGGCGCTTCCGCAAGTGCTTGCAACAACTAAAGCTACAGACATATCTCTGGGCTGGATGTGTCGTTGTGCATGGCTTCCGCTGCATCTTCCACTAACCCCAGCACCAGACATATATCTCTCTACTTTCTGTCGCTTTCTTTCGCTTTCTGTCTTTCCAGTACGTTCATGAGTAGTATTTATAAATTAATTGATTGATCTCAAGGCGCACGTCCGGCTTGTCCCGGGGGAAAGAAAGGCCTTGCTTGGCAACCTGCATATATTGCAGTTCCTGCATCTGAAGGGGCACGACGCTTCGTTATTTGCATTTACGGATACTTGTGAAAAACAAAACATACGTTTTTACACTAGTGATGAATTAATGATAATATCTTAATGTTCATTAAACAAGTAACGAAGCGACGTGCCCCTTCAGATGCAGGACCTAATTAATAATATATTTATTTATTTATTTAATGTTCAACCGTTAACAACCTACCCCTTCAGACGTGTAAAAGTTTTCATAAGATTTGCACTTTTCAACGCAGGTCCGGGTATCGAAAGATAACAATGCCCGAAACCCTAAAAAGTAGGTTAACAATGCCCGAAACCCTAAAAAAAGCAAAAAGTAGTTGCTGATGTCTTCAGCAAATCGTCTAGAAGAAGCGGAGGGTCTCGAAGCCTCGGTTCGAGACAGAGGGTCTCAGAAGGATGGAGGGGCATTTCCGTCATTACCAGCGTTTAATGAAACCCTAAGGGTTTCTTCTTCGTTGTATCATTCGAACGGAAAAGGGTTGGTGTTTGTGTTTCGGCCGAGAGACGTGCTCGCGGTTTCCGGCGCCGTTTCGGCGGTTTCCGACAGTGTTCCCCTGTTGTAACCCTAGCTACTAAACGCGGCTTCCTCTTCCCGAGACATAGGCCCGAGCTTTATGCTCGGAGCTGAACTCGTAAAACCTCTGTCTCCTCTTTCGTTTTCTGTTCTTCACACATGAGAGACCGGAGAGAATAGTGAGGCGAACCTCGACCGGGGCTGATCCACAACAAGTGGTATCAGAGCCCGGTTGCGGGGCAAGAAGCGGCGGCTCGACGTCGGCTCGTTTCGTCCAGGTAAGATCTGTCATGTACGCTTACGGATCTGAACGTTCTGATGCGTTTTCTTGAGAGTTTTAGGTGAAGAAACAAGAAAGGAAGCCGACAGAAGGTTGAATCAGCGGAAAAGAAGCCGGTGGTGGACAGATCCGAGGTGGAAACGGCGGTATGGAGCGGCGGATCGGCAAATCTAAGGTCGAGGTAAGATGAGGTGTGTCGGTTATGGGTCTGAGGTTTCTGATCTGGTGTGCGAGGGGTTTTCAGGTGAATAATGCATTCATAAATCAATGAATCAATACAAAGTCAAAATGTCATATCACGGATCATCCTAGAGCTCAGATCGGCGGCGAAAGAGGTAAGAAACTCTCGGATCTAACTCGGACTGAGTAAATCGGCCGAGTTAGAACCCGAGGAAGGTGAGTCGTGATTGCGCGTGGGTAGATCTAAGTTTTGGGCGGAAAAACCAGTGGAGAACCGGCGATTTGCCGGCGAAATCGGTCGTGACTCACCGAGTCACGGCTGAGTCGGAAAATCAGGGTGAGTCAAACACCGCGTTGACTCGGGTAACTCGGCAGCTTCCTCAATCCGAAATTAGGTTTTTCGGTTTAGACCGGTTTAGCCGGTTTAAATCCAATTAAGTAATTAAACCCGGTTCGATTAACATTCGTACCGGTTTAGGTTCGTCAGGTCAAACCGTTGACCAAAATTGGTTAACAGTTGACCGGTTAGGTCCAACCGGACCGGTTCAGGTCAATTGGGCCGGTTCAGGTCCGGTTTGGGGTCAATTGGACCGGTTCACACCTGTTCCGGTCAGTCTAGGTCTGAATTATTTACGAAAATGCATTTTAACAAAATCTTGGAGGTTCATTTTCATCACGACCTGCTTAAGTTGAATAATCGATAGAAAATTTTAAAAGAAAACGAAGAAAGAATTTATACAAAATTAAAAAAAAATACTTTCCACCACATGATGGAATTAATAGATCCTGAAACTTTAATATACCCCAAATCTGGGTCGTAACGGTAGAATATTATTGACGCTCTGATTAGTGAGAAGATGAAAGGAGTGATCGAAACGCATGTGTCGCAACGGTAAAATATTATTCTGAGTCATAACGATACAATATTATTGGCTTCAGCTATGTTTGGCATATAAATGTGTATGTGTAACGTATGGTAGTTTTTGAGATACTATTTTATATATTTTAACAAAAAAACAATAAATGCTTTATTTTGCCAAATAAAGATAACCATCTAGATTGAATTGCAAGATCCTACAAACAATCGAGGAATAGGC